TTTTGTTTGTAGCACGGTGGGGACGAACTGTTTTCTGGCACGACGCAAACGCTTGGAGTAAGCGTTCGCTTCGAAATGTTCGGACCCACTTCTGTCGCAGAGACTTCTCGGTCGGAAAGCGATGAGATATCACTGCTGCATTTCTTTGTGGCGTGATTTCACCCCACATCACACAACCAATTCTCCCCATACCCCATCGCGTGCCGCGAATACCCTAAACCACACACAATCCGCAAATCCAAGGATGGTCACTATCACTACAACGCACAACGCCGTGGAGGGGGGGGGGGGGGGGGGGAGGAGCCTCGTCTGCTCTCGTATACAACGTTTGACGTCCCGAGCGCCCTGTGCTCGTTGTTGCCAGAAGCCAACGATTCAAAAGTGTACGCATAAACATTAAAAAAAAAATTCTCGGAAGAAAATTATTTTTTTTGATGATTTATCTTGTAGACCTACTCAGAAGAGGGGATATTTAATGCCTGGGAAAATTTTAATGAAAATCGATGACCATCAATATTTCGCCTGAGCTTTAAGAAATGCACGGCTTGCCTTATCATTTTGAACTTGAACTTTTTTATTTCAGCACTATTGTGCAAAGGGCACCAGACAAAAATCTTTCACAAGGTAGCTTGACTGAATCTTGCACCCCCGCATTCCCAGGACATGGTGATAAAAAACACTAGGCAATAAATATAGTTGTTGTGAACAAAACATGAGCGCACATCTTTTTCTTTTTTGTTAAACAGTGAATAACAATGCGGTCTATAATAAACTTGTTAAGTAATCTAAGCAGGTTATGAGCAGTTTACTGCAGTTCGTAATTGGTACGAAGATGAGATACATTCCAGAACTCTCTGCGTCGGTTATGGATAGAAGATTCAAACAAATAAGACAACAAATAAATAAATTCACCAATTGAAAACAGATAAGAGCCTAGCACTGTACTCGTATACATTAGCAATTCACATGACGCTGAATTAAAAAAAAAAATATTCGGTATGAGTGTCGTAAGGCACGTTTGCAATAGAACGGAGCATATTCTTTCGGAGGACCGTAAGTTTGTTAACTTTCCATTCAGTCGTTGTGCCAGAAACCAAATGCCAATAGTTAATTTGTGAGCTTAACAGAGCTTACTAAATTTTCATTTTAATATTTACCAGCAACAGAGAGCGATAGTGACATATTATTCCAACAACTTTTGACAGTTTGTTAACTAGGTATTAGATATGATTATCCCATTTCAAATGTTCTTAAAAAATGACACCTAGCGTTTTGTGCAGTTTGACTATTCCAATCTGATCGGTACCAGTCTTTAGATCATAATTACTTGTAACGCGCTTATTTTACAGGTTTAAAACTATTGCTTCAGAATTTACAGTGCTTATTTGAAGACCATTAGTTGTTTACTACGAAAGAAAATTTTCTAAAGCAAAGTTTCCCTTGGTTATGAGTTCGTCCATATTCGACGCATGCAGAAATACAATCCTGTCGCCTCCATATGTATTAAAACATGATTGGTTCCAAATAATCACGATATCGTTTATATACAAACTGAACGAAAGAGGACCGAGTATGCTGCCTTGAGGCACACGAAACTTCAAAAGTTACAAAGAAGAAACATGATCACTCACTCAGAAACATTACTTGCGGTGTTCTAAATATCAGTGAATAAGTATCGAAGGCATGCCACGTATACCAAAACACGAAAGTTTATAAAGGAGCGTTGAATGTTTAAGACAATTAAACGCTTTACTAAGGTTAATAAATATTCCTAATGTAGACTGTTTATGTTCTATATTATGTAATATTAGTTCTTTCTACGATATCAGAGCGCATTTCGTGGACTTTTCCTAGCGAAATCCGAACTGGAAGTCAGTTCGGATTTCGCAAAGTTACCGCCCTCCCTGCCCATTGAATGAACGCATCAAATGGAGTATAGTTATTGGCATGCTGCCTGCAGCGCGGTGCAGCGTGCACTCGGGTAATTCTGAGAGTGTTCTTATTGAGTATAGTAACGTCCTTATTAGTGGGATTGTGCCGTGATCTCCGAAAAAAGTTTGATGTGACGTTACAAAAACTGTTCCCCCACAAAAAAAAAAAAGAAAAAAAAAACGTTACAAAAGAACCGTTACACGCTCGGTGAATAGACCCTTCTCAAAAGTCGGCGCCAGCGTCTGTCCGCCATTTTTTTTATCGCGTACTTTGAGCATTCACTGAACACGAGTGTGACGTCAGCGTTCGGCAAGGACTCAGATCCAATCACGAGTTTCGTGTCCTAGCAATGGCGGCCGCCAATGTTGCTTGACGGACTTTTGAAAATGTCTACTTGGTGGAGGTGTTCCCCGCTAAATATGGCGGGGCATGTGTTCCGCTATGTTTAGCGGACGGTGTTCACGTGACGTCTTCGTGGTCACGTGGTACCATGACGTGATACTGAGGTTACGTGGCACCATTGCGTCACGTGACACCGTGATATGAGGGTAAGGTCAACGTTACTAGGTTAGCTCAGTTACGAAAATGCCCATAGTCGCTGCTTCCACGACCAGTACCCCCCTCTCCCCCCGTGGCCGCCTTCCGTCCTTCGACTCACCGTTTTGAGGACTGCTGCTAATGTAACAGCGGTGTGCTCTATGGAATACATACGTTGTGAAGCACAGCGCCTAGATGGCGCTTCAGCGTACTCTATGGAACACACAGTTTGGCAACGAAAATCTAGATGGCGCTTCGAACGACGGGAGGAGGACTGAAGGGGTTGAGGGGAAAGGGGGGGGGGGGGTGCACCATCTCCGCGGGAGTTCCATAGCTGAGCGAATCCAGTAGCGTTGGTTAACGTGTAACGTCACGTGGTTGTTTGTAGTACCTCGAGACACGCGACGTCGCGGAACACCATGAGGGTATCTGATACATTAGGACACACGGCTCCATGACGCCGTGGTGACACGCTGTTACGTGATACTGCCTTACGTAACATCATGTCGCTGTCACGTGAAGCCAGCACACCTCCAAAGACGGTTTGTGTTTCCCGCCTTTATACGTAAGATTAATTCGCGTCGACTGATCATTTTCGGAAATCGCCGGTTAAGGAAAATCTGGCATGAGAATCCGCGAGCACGTGCTCAAGCGAGCGTGGCCACTACCCTTGACCAAGAAAGCTAGGTTCGGCTGGCTACATAGAGGTAAAGTGACCTATAGGTAGGGCTCCCTCAAAGTTCTTTCTTTTTTTGCCTTTGTGGCTTATCTTTTTGCCCCCGAGCTCGAAATCTCGAGCTAGAACTAAGACGCTTCTTTCTTTTTCTTTCTAATGGGCGCATTGTTTTATCCTCAAAATCCTCGAGCCCAGTTTTCTTTCAGGGGGCGCCAGCTATTTACAAAATGCAAAGGGCTTCACCTTGCAATTTGCCAAGGCGATGGCGATTTAGTAAATGCTTTGGTGTTTAAAGGAAGCGGCTGAAAAACAGACGTTGGGAAAACGGAGGTCACTAAGCACCAGTTATCCCACTGGTGGTACAAGTCGAGGGAAGAATAAAGACTCGTTGCCATTTTCTTTTCGATCCGCGTGTGGCGTAAAGTGCGCACGCAACGTTGCCAAAAGGCACCACCATCACACGAATTGTAACTTTCGGTTGCGGAGAATGTTGAATAAATTCTCGTGCTTAGCAGCGATATGGGATTTTTTACCATGCTCCAGTAATTTCAAATTTATAAATATACCGCTAAAATTATTAAATTTACTTTCTTTCATCATCATCATCATTTATTTTCCTTGAGGGCCCGTGGGGCATTATACAAGGGGGTGGCAATAGAACAAAAACAAATAGAACAGTAAACACAATTATAACACTGTAAGCTAGCTAGGTAGGTTAGATAAAAAGAGGGTAATGGCTTCAACAAATTTAGTAGTATCATTAATACAAACGATGTTATGAGGTAGTGAATTCCAATCCTCGATGGCCAATGGTAGTGTGGAAGTCTGGTGAGAAACAGTTGATGATCGAATTGGACGTAATTTACATAGGTGATCTAGACGCGGGAAAATACGATGGGGAGGTGATAGCAGTGATTCTTTAAGGTGGCTATTGTGATAGAAAATTCGATGGAGGAGAGAAAGGCGTGATACTCGGCGGCGAAGGGAAAGTGAATGAAGGTTAGCTGATTGGCGTAATCCTGATATGCTGGTATATGGTGAGTAGTTGTTATAAATAAAACGAAGGGCTCCGTTTTGGACGGATTCTAGATTATTTGCAAGGTAGGACTGCCATGGGGACCATATAGATGAGGCGTATTCTAATTTCGATCTTATAAGAGTAGTATACGCTAGTCGTTTTACGGAGGGTGTAGCAAGTTTAAGGTTACGGCGCAAGTATCCGAGAGAACGGTTAGTATCAGAAATAACAGAAGTTATGTGAGTAGTCCATGATAGGTCAGAGGTGAGATGAACACCCAGGTACTTATAAGATGAGCATGCTATTACTTGAGTGTTAGAGAAGTAATACGAAAATGGTGTGGCACGCGAACTGCGGGAAATTGATAGGGATCTACATTTATTGAAGTTTAATGTCATCTGCCATTTTTCACACCAATGGATTACAGACTCTAGATCTTCCTGGAGAGCATGATGATCATGGTTTGAAAGAATGGGTCGGTAAATGACACAATCGTCGGCGAACAGCCGCACAGAAGAAGCGATATTAAGGTGGAGATCATTCTTTCTTAGTCGAAGATTAGTATAGTAGTAGCAATACGACCCATTTATTACGAAAGTAAAACGGGCAGAAAGGGGAAAGGGAACGCGTGGATGGCTACAAGTCCTGGACGCCCTGACACATGATACAGACACGCAGAAAATGAGTAAAATAGCAAATGGTTAAAATGAAAAGCATTGACCAGGTGGCGTAAGGCGCCGCCTGATTAAAAGGGTCCAGCCTTATCTATCCCTCCATTCATGCTGGATTATTTCGTCTCTTCGTCAACAGAGGTCGGAACGTTCCATGGCCACTCACCTTGCCGTACCGGCCGGCGAAGGTGCCCGTGAGGAGCGAGTGGAAGATGATGATGGTCTCGTCCAGGTCCCAGATGAACACTCGCTCCAGGGAGTTCTCTGGATCCGGGGAAGGGTTGGCCTGCCGCCGTCCACGGCCGCGACCGCCCCGCCCTGCGACGGACGCACCAAAGGGTCAGGTAGACCACATTATGATGTGGTGTCTGCACGCGTATTGCCCTTAGATATTTATGTTTCCTTAGTTGGTTTAATCAGTGAAGGGAGGCAGGGATATAGCGTTCTTCACACAAAGTGATTTTTTTTAAATAAAAAAGCGGGAAGGGGGGAGGGCGGTTTCAGGTAAATACGGGCATTTTCCCCGTCGTTTGGAATAGCTGCAAGAGGGATTTTGAGGTGACGCGACAGGCTCTGTGTACACGGCGGTACAACTGATTTCGCTAAACAGTCATAAGCCTTGCCCGTCATCTTCTTTTTTTTTCATTCTCTTTCCACGACCCAACCCAACCTTCCAATAAATAACATTACATGCTTTCTCCTAACATAAATGAATGTGGTTCATTTCTTCTAACATTTCAAGCCTGCCAATCATCTTTCTGCGAGAAAAATACAACTTGAAATATCCAAAGCAAGGAAATAACTAAAAAAAAAAAAAAAAATTTGCCCAGAGCGCTAGGTGCGTTCAGTTTCTCATCTCCACGGAGTCGGTCACGTGACCTTAATATCGCTCTGGCGGCTATCTTAACCGCTGAGGAATACCCGCAGTTCATCAGCAAACCGCCCCAGGTCTATGACGCAGCAGCACCACGCTATTAAAGACGCTCGTGCGTCTGTTTTCCCGCACAGCACTAGAGAGTCATTGACTGTGACCTACGGAGTTACCCGGGAGAACGACGAAGGCGAAATTGTTTAGTCTTCAGAAATTACGTCTCAAAGTGACACTGATCATGCCGTAAACACGTGAAACGTCGTATTCAATGTAACATCACAAGTACTTTTTTTTTTTTTTTTTATACACATATTTGCATAAACTTATTTGTACCCTTTCCATTCACCGATCTCGCTCCGTATATCGCAAAGATTGGCTCTCTGTACGTGTGCTCTGTGGGAACATAGATGGGGGGGATCGGTGGCCGAGTGGTCTAGCGCACACCAGCTCGGAGCACGTGGAGCGAAAGCTCGCGCTGCAGAACCCAGGGATCCTGGGTTCGAGCCCCACCCCTGCCCGTTTCGATCTGGATGAGCATCGTACCGGCGTGCGGTCGTGTATCACTACTGCGTGACGCACGTTAAAGACCCCAGGCTAGCGGTTTGTACCGCACTGGCTAAATTTCTCATCTACAGCTGGGAGACTCGTCGCCCCTGTGAGGCAGACCAAGTTCTAGGCTGGATAAACACACACACAACCCAATTTTTTTGGGAACATAGACATGATGATGTTTTTCGAGGGGGGCAGGCATTTTCGTCATTCTCGTTTGGAAGGGTTGATGATGATGATTCTATCGATGCAGGCGCGCGTTGTTCTGTAAATACGCACATTAGCTTAGGTTACGTCCTGCGGGGCGTGAAAATGTTTTCACGTTGTAACTTTCTAGAAAAGCTCGAAGTGATTCCGGTCCACTGGCGCATCGAGAGCGCTGCAAAGGAAAGAATGTTCGGGCGATTCTCAGGAGCCAGGAGTGTGCTGCATTTGAAAAGCGACACACTCGGCTCAGAGCAACGCCTACACTACTTCGATGACCGTTGAAAATACTCTACAGCTCCTGCGTTTTTACTTCCCGCAATCAATTTGAAACCTCAATCACTGGCCCTTCTTCACTAGAGTTTTAATCAATTTTCCAAGGGCCATCAATATATGCTGCCTGAATGGCAATGTTACCTATGCGCAGCGCGAATTCGACTGCTTCTTGCGAAAAGTGGCATTGATGTCAGAGCGCCGATCGAGCTCTGCTTGGCTCTGATGGAAAGATAGGGGGTAGACCTCAACGCTAGCTGCCTTCAGTTAAGTAAGTACGTAAGTAAGTGAGTAAGTTTATCTCCCATCAACACTGACGGCGGAGGTCGAGAAAAAAAGCTGTAAAGTACGGCAGCTTGACAAGGTCCTCGACCTCCTACATAGGCGAAATAGCAGAAGCACAGGGAAAAAAAAAAAGAACACAAACAAAAAAGATTTTTCATACCAAACCATGGTTCAAGGTGAAACAAGAGGACACTATACAAGCGCAAAATACGTACTAATCAAACAAGGAATAAAAATATATATATATTAAAAAATATAAAAAAAAATATTACATGAAACATGAAGTCATTGCTAATTTACCTATCTAAGCTTAAAAAATATTCTCCGAGTTGTTCTGGTGATATTCTATTCAATTCCAGTTCACTTTCTAGGTCTACCCACTATGCTTCCTAACGGAGCCAATCGAAACTCTTCGTCGTCGTGACGTCACCGCAGCCCTTGCTCAAGAAGCCGTCAAATTTGCGCTCCGCACAGTTCCTGGCAGCTTAAGAAACGGAGAGCGCGGTTGTTTATCTTTATGCTCTTGCTTCGTGATTGGTTCTTTGGCGGTCGGCTTAGACCCTAACCTGATTGGCTAAGGGGTGATAATAAGGTGATCGTGACTCGCCCGGCCCTGTTAAGGGGTATTCACACGAAGGAGAAATCCCGGGGATTTCTCCCCGGCACGCGCATGCCACGACGAAAACGTCAGGCTTTGCGATGTGCAAAAGCCTCGCGTTTTCATCTCGTGATGCGCGCGTTCCGGGGAGAAATCCCCGGGATTTCTCCCTCGTGTGAATACCCCTTTAAGCCTCGACAGCTCCGTTCGCAAACAGAGCTGCAGTATATAGCTCCTAGAACGTTAGAGCAAGAACAATTCTCCAAGACCTCTAGCATTGTGATGTGGGTCCTACACGGGCTGTTGCTTCTGTCTACTCTGTCGGTGCGGGTCTTCGCTGAAAAAGTGCAAACCTCCCTTAGGTTATTTTCGTCTTCGCGCAATGCACACTAGGAAGGTTTGCACCCTTCAGGGTGTTAAAGGGCTGTTCCGGCGACTCATACCCAGGGCTACACCCTATCAGCGCCTTTCTTTTGGGGTAATAAACACATTTTAATCATAAATTGGGGGCTGTTGCATGATGCACCCTTTAATATTGAAGGGTGGGGTGTGAAAAAAGCTGGCTAGGGAACACTCTACTTTATAAGGATACCCGCTGCACTGATACCCGCCTAAAACAGATTGTTTTAGCGGCTATGTCGCTGCACTGATACCCAATTTAAAGATTCGTTTAGCGGCTATGTCGGAGAACAATCGCCTGTATACTAATGTTTTTTTTTTTTTTTTTTACTTGGAGATACATTATTTGAATTTGGGTATGCTCAGCGCGATCACGTTGGCGCCAACCAAGCTAAGTACGTGTAAACTTCGAAATTCCGGAGGCAGTCGTCTGCGAATGAGCGTCTATGAAATGTCGAGTAAGTATATAATTTGTGAACCGGCTGGCACGCACATTGTTATTCCCGTGTCCTGGGTGGCTCATTGTGTTTGTACATGTGCATGCGAGATCTGCATGTGGCTCCTGCTACTCGTAGATGGGTTGCTCGTAAAATATCGCCCATAGAATCCTATTTTAACCGCGTTCACCGGCGCCCTCGGGGTGCATTTCTGTAACACCCTCAAAGCCGCTTTCAGACTGCTAATGCGTCATAATAAAGCCAGTCTGCAAACATGTTTCACCATGAAGCAAACATGCTCCGAAGGAGTGTCGGCACATCATTTTTGTCATCGTGTCTGCAGCAGACACGTTGCCTTTTGTATTATGGATGAGCTGTGGGGCTGCGGTTTTAGGATGTCAGCCCTGGGACAAGCTGAATAGACCGATCTCGCTAAGCGTTCCACGCAAGTGTTACTCCGCCATAACTGTAGTTCATAGGATCGGCAGGCACCAGTTCACGAGACACCTCGTGGTGCTTCGTGCTCGTAGGCTCTACTCGTCCCAAACCCTCAACGGGTTCATCGCTCGTGCAAAAAGAGTGTAGTTCTCACAATGCCTGGCTGTTAGCCGTGGCGTCATGAAACTGGCTGTGCGATGGCTTTTTTGTGTAGCTTTGTATTCGCGCCGAGAAGTTCGGGTATCGCCGCCTGGTGAAAGTGTTTCAGAACCCAGAGTGAGAATACTTCCAACTTCCCTCTGCTGGTGGAAGCACGTGTAATGCCAAGTTTTTATGCACTATGAAAATTAAAACGTAACCGCGTGCACTACCCACAGTGACGAAAACAGAAGCGCCTCGCTTCAAACCGCGAATAGCAATAAAGACAACAAATACGACCGAACGTGCCTGTGCGCGTGCATTCTTCGCGATACTTCTGAAGTACCTTATGAAATTGTCCCTAAGTATTCGCAACAGACGACGCCACCCAGAAAAAAAAAAGTAGACAAAAAAAAAAAGACGGAGAGCGACTTTGTATTCAAGTGTGCCGCGAAAACTGGTACAGCCTGGCGGGAAAAAAAAACAAAAAAAAAAAAAAAAAAAAAAAACGGAGGAACGAGGAAGTAAACGTGCGACATTGGAGTTGCGAATAGTGCTTGCTCTCGTCGATAGCGAGTCCTCAGTGTGTATATTTGTTCGTTTCCAAGTAAGACCTTATCTTTACCTTGTATACCTTACGCGCACATTTTGTAAAGCGTGGACTTTAAGCTAAAAAGCGAAAGAATGACATCATTATTTGCAGCATAATACGACGATAAACACCAAGCCGCAGCAGGATACATCATTGACCGCATCATGAGCCTGGTAATTACAGACACACCAGAGCTAATTATGCTACGTTTATTTTAGTATTATCCGCGAAACAGGACTATAGAAACCGACAGCTTTAGAAGCGCGGGGTGTTGAAACTCGTGAGAATCTCTTTATCACTCCGCAACCGATCAGGTTGCGGAATCAGTCGACAAAAGCATCAAAGAACCATGCAATCACAAAGCTAGGATTGCGAATTAACATAATAAGCCACGCCCCCGGTTAAGGTGAAACCAAGTGTACAGGGTTCGACAAGCTCTCGGCTATACGTTCTGCAACCGCAGCGCAAAGGAGAAGGTTATGCGAAGTATAGATATAATTCTAATCGTGAGGCACCTAAAAAAATATATTCATT